ACAAAATTTGAGAGATGAATTGGTTCCAAGCTAAAATTTAGAGTGCCCTTCTATTACAGGTTTTACAACTTTCCTTAATCTACAGGCATTAGCAGAACAATTAAAACTTTTGAACTTAGAATTCTAACATCTTCAAAAAGACAAAAACATCTTCAGAAATTCAGAACGACGCCTTCTGATGCTTCTTCTTCTTGGCGCATTGTCCACCCTTCTGATTACACAGTGCACTTTTCTTCTGTTCTCCCCCCACCACCTCTCATTCCGTTTTATGAATAAATGAGAAAAAGAAGAAAGAACAAGAGTCATAAAACGAAATAAAGAAGAAAAAGAAGAAGAAGAGGTCGTCGTATTTTCTACAACAAAACGAATAGGATCGATTGAGAGCCGTAAACCATTTGGAGGAGGAATTTGAGAGCAGGAGGAGGTGAGGAAGAAGCATCCAATAATAAACAAATTGTTCTTTTGGAGAGTAAGGGAATGAGGGTGGAACAAGAAGAAGAAAGAAATGTTTAGATTATTTGGGTGCACTTTCAAAACGTGCAACTTTTTGCAGAAAATTTGTCTTCTTTGCCGGAAATGAATGAGAAGATTACTACATAGATAATGTTTCCCTAAAAGTACAGTATACCTAAAAAGCTAGCTATAGAAGTTTTTAAAAGAAGCTTAGGAAAACCTTGATTTTCAAGGTTTTCCGAACCGATCTTTCGATGCTTTTTTCTGGAAGTTTTGGTTTCGGTTGGGTTCAATCGGCTTATTTGTTTTGGGTGATTTTGTACAAAAAAGTTGTCAACTACAAAATTGAAGGTATATATTTGTTTAGTATAGTCTGAAATTCTCAGGCAAATTGAAAAATTCTGGATTTCTTTTGTAGGGATCCAAAGTTGACTATCGTATTCGCTCTAGAAACCCACCCAAACTTTGAGCGCAATTATCTCGGTTTAGATCAAAGATATCAAAAAATTTTTGACTGATAAAATATTTGCAATTTTATGATAAACAGTTTATCAGTTGACAAAATTTAGATAACTTTCACAGAAAATGAGATAATTGAGTTCGAAGTGGACGGTGTTTGTGGACTTCTATTAGGGCAAGTACGGAAGGTTACTGTATTCAAAAAGTTTAGAACTCGTTCAACAACATTATACATCCGACCTTTATCAAATTGAAAATGCTTGATGCTGTACGACACAAATTTTGACATTCATACATTTTTTACTTCAGAATGACTCATAGTTTTTGAATGCTAAATTTCTACTAATGTTAGGACCTACACGAGTGCCTAGCACGCAGTAGTCAACAAAAATTTTTCAAATTGAAAAAAAACAAGGCGAACATTTGTGATATCTAACTCATTCATGAGTAATCAGCAACTAATCCAAATCTTGAGATTTTGTTTTACGGTCCCATGATTTGAAAAATATGCCGAAAACATGACGATAACAAATCCAAGTCAGGATTAAACAAAATTGAAGTTTTAGGAATTTTAGAATGAATTTTTCACATCATGTGTTCTACTTTTATACTAAAAACGTTCAAAACAAGGATGTGAGAACATTGACTCAGAAAGAATGAGTTTGGCAATGATCAGAATATTTCAGACTATTCTTAAACGTAGGGGGACATGAAAAAAAAAGTCTCGATATTTTGTTCATATAAACCCCTCGAGGAGATGAACTTGTGGAGCAAACATTGAAGATGTGGCGTAGCTACCGACTGCACTACGGTGGCGCAAGCTCAGGCAGCCGAACGATGCGCTGGGTGAACACTAAACACCGTACACCGTTAAGTCTGAATGCATACCGTAACTCCAAAAAAATCCGGAAAATCTTCTTTAAAATAGTACACTTTTTGAAGAAAAAATAGGAAAAAGTAACTTGATAGGAACAGAAACTCAAAGAAGAAACAACCACAGAAAAAAGCGAAAAAGGTTTCATGAAACTTTGCCTTCTTCTTGCTCCACCTACTCTCCTTCTCTCTCCTGACAACTGACATTTCTCCGTTCCCAGAGTGTGATTTGCCACGTCATGCGATAAATGATTGAGGTTGCAGCAGCAGAAGCGAGAAAAAAGATAAAAATTGATAGGGGAGGAGGAGGAGTCTGAAGGAGATATGAAGTGAGTCACTTGATGATGGGAAAAAATGTTGCACAATCCATGTTTTAGTGTAAAAAAACGAGATGGTCTCGAGGTGAGAAACATGAAAATCGGTGTGGTTAAAAGACATGGAAAGGAGAACAAAAAATCGGGGGTATGAGAGAGAAACACCGATGGCCGTGGCTGAAAGTCCCACAACGACAACTACAGTAACCTGCTTTCATCTAGTTTTCTGTTATTTTCCGCAAAAAGTCGCAAAAAAGTTCTTCCGACACAGATGGGGAGGGAGAATTTTCACTACAGTAACCCTTTTAACTTTTAAATATTTTTCCCTGCATGCAGCCTACAGTAATCCCTACAGCAATCCTTAGTGAAAAAAATTACTGGAAACGGACGAAAATCGGGATAACAAATCCGGGAAAAATATTTTTAGGTTACTGTAGTTGTCGTTGTGGGACCTTCGACTACTTTCGTATTAGCTAGAAGATCGAAAGATCACATTTTGCCAGCTCATGATCAGTCTAAAAATTGTGAATAAACAGAATGATAGATCAAAACACACATTGATCTGGAATAATTTATAAAATGTGTTCAGGAGAAAACATTTCAGCAGATAAATAAAAACATAGATTAGTCATTGTTGATACCCGTAAACTAATATGTTTGGCTATAGCATCAGGGACGTTCGGAACGGCATTTTTGGAAACTTTTTGAATGCCTTGAACGAGTTTCAAAATTTTCGGAAATTCGGAATTTTATAATTTTGAAAATTCCTGCATTTTGGAATATTCCAATAGGAAATTTTCGGAATTTCAGATTTCAAGTAGGAACCTCACAAACATTGACTGGTGAAAATCTGACAGACATATTTCGAAAACGCAAAAAAAAAACAATTAAGTAATTCTGCTCGAAACCTACAAAGAAACTTTTGGTAGTCTCCAAAAACTTCAAATTTTCACCTTAACAATTTTGAAGAATTTTCAAAATTCCCTTCCAAACATCTGAGCAACCATCCACAAAATATTCTCAGGCGAAAATCTGGGATTGGGACTCTTTCTAGAAATTGAAAACGGTCAAATCAAGTGGCTGAATCAAAACTGACTATAATATAATATAATACACTGAAGCGGTGGACGTACATGAGACGAACACATTAATATCATAATCAAATCAACTTGAGAGAGAAATGGATGAAAACTTATTAAAATGCTAATCGACGTTGGCCGAAAGAATTGTCAAACAGGTATGTCACTATACGAAAGGGCGGAGTGCCATCTCCTTTCGTCAATGTTGTCCTGACGACGTTGGGCTCGGATTCAGAAAGGAAGATGACGTAAAGGAAGAAAGATCTCAATCAATGTGACGAATTCAATGAGACTCGACGATCTGGATGGAAGAACGCGGATGAGGAAGAAAAAGATGCACGTGTGAAAACGATCGGAATTTCGGATGATTTTACTCGACCCTCCAAGAAAAGAATGTATGTGGAGGTCAATTAGAAGACAAGGTGGGTTGATGGAGCTAATTACTGAAATTCCAAAAAAAAAAACTTATTTTTGTTGCAATAAAAATATCACACTGTTTTTTTCCGGAACGTTTTTTAAAATATATTTTTCTCGCGGTTTTTTCGATAGAATGCAGGCAGCGACTCGGCAGTTCAATTTGAAGCTTTTGCTTAAAGACCAGCGCATTTGACTACGGTATTTAAAATTTTCGCGTCCGAGCACATTTTCTTCACAGCCTAGAAAAGTCGCAGTGTGAAATTTCAGAGAGATCACTTTGAAACTTCACGAAGAGAAAAACTATCGTAAAACCTGTATTAGAAGGGCCCCATCAATATAAAGGCCCCTCTAATAGAAGTGCCCTCCGAGAGGGGCTTGGAAAAAATAGAAGGTCCCCCTCTAATAGAAGGACCCTCCGGAGGTGCCTGGGAAAAATAGAAGCGCCAGCCCCTCTAATACAGGACGGTATAATCTAATTCGAACTGAAAAAAAATAGCAAACGAAAATCTCACAGGCGGCGCTCGTGTCGATTTCCGAAGCCCCTCTCCCAAATCCGATACTGTATGAAAGAAACTATTTAATTTCTGGGAATTTCGTGATTTTATGAACCAAATATAGATTTTTAGTAGAAGAATGATCGCTAGAATTGCCGATTATTTCACAGAAAAAAACTTTAAAAATTGGAAAAATCACGACTTCCTCGCATTATTGGTTTTCAAAGTTCCAAGAATCATGGAATTCGAGTTCTTAAAGAGAAAATGAGATCAGGATCAAGTCCTTCTTCCAGCCAATTCTCCCATGAAATGAAGCTTCTTCTTATTCTTCCTTTAAACCAATTCACCTTTTCTCCCACACCACTAACATCATTTTCCAAATGCCAAACTTTATGACCGTATCATTCTGCGTCCGAAATCTTCTGCCCACACACTATGAAAGCTAATACGTACACTTCTTTAGGAAAAAAGAAGTGAGAGAGAAAATAAGAATTAAGATTGTTGTCTAAAATTGCCTAAAATTCCAGAAGTTCATTGGCTCTAATCATAGAGTCCACAGCACACACAGCACAAAAACAGTTTTTTGAAAAAGATGAAACCAATTTCATTGTGTGAGGATCATAGAAAATGCGAATTTTTTTAGGGGAGAGGACAAAAGAAAAAGTTGATGAGGGATCTTGTGTAGAGGGGATATCGAAATTTTACACTTTTAAAAATAGGAACAGTCCTAGAAAGGGGGATGAAGAAAAATGTAAGGCATTCCGTTTGAAAGGAGAAAAGAGAAACAGGTCAATGTACACGTAACAAGGATCGGATCGGAAAAAAGAGTTTCCATTCAATTATTATAATACGGAAAATTTTTAGGACGTTAGCTAACAAAAACATTAAAAAACAAAACATTTATTAGGACTTTAAGAAGAGTTATTGTCTCGTGGACGGAGAGATTCCACACTGTGTTTGTACATGACCGCTTGCAGATCTTTGAATAGATCACAACCTGACAACGGATCACGGGCTTCCACTTCACGAGCCATTGTGCAGATAAGTTTGCCTGAAAAAAATTAGATTGATTGTTTTGATATTGGAAGAGGGAGGAGGGGAAGGAATGCTTTGACGTCAATAAGTTGTAAAGAGCCGATTAGGCTGGAAGAGAAGATCAGAAAGTTTATAGCACTTCGTGGGTGGTTTTAGGAAGACTTATTTTGAATAAAGCAGGAAAAGCTTCGCAATTGTTTTAAATTTCATCGAACAATTAAAAAATTAGCAAATCCACTCTAAAAAACTCCAAAAATTCTATTTTTCATCAAACCACCATTAAAATTCAAATTTTCATTCAAATATTCCGTGATTCTATTATCCTTGTCAGAGAAAAAAAAGGTTGAGTCGAAGTGTATGCGAAGTTTGTAAACAAATATCGGAAAGCGTAAACAAAAAAAAAACGTAAACAAACACAGTTGAAACGAGTGCGACAGTAACCCGGCGGGAAAATGTTAATTTACCTATTTTTTAGTTTTTCTCATATTTTGCAGCAAATTTCGTCGAACATGGTTTGTTTTTCATTGTTTTTTGCGGTATTTTAAGATATATTCGACGAAATTTGCTGCAAAATATGCGAAAAGCTAAAAAATGAGTAAATTTAATATTTTCCCGCCGGGTTACTGTCGCACTCGTTTCAACTGTGTTTGTTTACGTTTTTTCTGTTTACGCTTTCAGATATTTGTTTACAAACATCGCATACACTTCGACTCAACCTTTTTTTTCTCTGACAAGGATAATACACACCGGTGTTTGCGGACTTCCTACCGTAACCCTAGGAAAAAATTTTACTCGTCCGATTTTCCGGAACAAAAAACATTTTTGTCGCAGAAATGGCTAATTATTGGGGACATTTTTCGTTTTTATCTGTATACAAAACTCAAAATACTAACCTAAAAGTGACCACTTGTCGTCGACTTCTCCATTGGCGGTGGCGTTTCCGTTAGTCGATGAACTTGTTCCATTCATCATTGCCTGTGCTTGAAGAAGTTGAGACGATGAAACAGACGGCATCGGTGGAAGAGACGCAGCCATCGTCGTCGATGGTTCCATTTTCTTTAGAAGCGCTTGCTGGAGAGCACTCTGTTGAAGTCCCATTCCATTGAGCCCGGTGATTAGTCCGTTTCGTTGAAGAGAGGCAGAAGTCACTGGAATCATACCAGCCATGTTCGGAACACCAGTCTGAAAGATCTAAGAAGATAGATTTGGATTTGCTCTTTTCTATTATTCTGAGTTCTTACTTTTCTTAACTGCTTTTCCAATGGGAATCCACTTTTAACAACCGCCGTCGCTTGTGCTCGCTTCTGTGGAGGTGTTGCTATGAGATCTTCTTTTGGTTGTTTCGCCAACAAGTCCTCTCTTGGCGGAACCCACGTGGCAGTTGGCTGGAACTTTCAGAAACGTTATTTAGGACGTCCAGGGTGGCTCTCTTACCGGTTGTGTGCCTTTTCTGCCGTCGTTGTAGACAATCATTCTAGAACTTCCTGGCGGTGATGAGCTTCCTTCCGGTCTCATTCGTTTCGCTGGTGGCCCATTCTCACTGTTCCTGTAACCATCACTATACCAGTTAAGGAACTAGAGTTTGAGAAAAAACTTACATTAGCTTTCCTTGCTCTAACATATTTTTGAGTTCAGCGTAATCTGTAACTGGAATCGTTCCAGCAAGTCCTCCACCATTCACTCCTTGTTCTTCCTTCAGACTTCTGGCAACGAGATTCTCGAGAACTAATTTTATCGACTTGTTTCCGTTGGAAGACATTCCGAATTGTGTTGCAGCCGATGGCGATGACGCAGCCATTCTAGAATCTTCACTTTGCGATGAACCAGCCGGAGACGCCACTGTTGCACGAGATGGGAACCCCGAGAAGGAGGTTGATGGATCTGAAATGACACTTTTTATTAGTGACAGAGAGAGAGAGAGAGGGAGAGAGAGAGAGAGAGAGAGAGAGAGAGAAAGAAAAAAGAGGGCGGAGCTCTGCGCAGAACAACGGAGAGAGCAGTAGTAGTCATCAAATTTATCACCCGAAAAGGGTGCGGGAGCGAACGAGGGTCGGCATTTGTCAAAAAGCGACGAGTCATAGAGAAGAGGTGAGAAAGAAACATTGATGACCTGGAAGGGAAAAATTGTATTTTTCACCATTTTGAAATCTTCCCCCTCTTCTCTGGGGTTTATTATCGGTGTGCGAAATTTCCGTTGAGAGTTCTCACGGTATCTTTTTGTATGCAAAGAGAGACAGGGAGAGAGAGAAACAAATACGGTTGGAATCAGAAGTTCTCACGACTAAGAAGCCACGTTGTTTTGTATTGAACACAGAGCAGCGCCGAGCAGAGACTGGCCACGCCCACAAGCAGGTGCAACCACATCTGCTATTCAAAATCGAACACGAGAAAGTAACGCGAAGGGGCGGGACTAGAGAAAGTAGGTCATAAGACACCTTGTTACGGTAGGATAGGAGAGGGAACGTTGACCTACTTTTTGACAGTGTAAGAATACAGGAGCGAGTAAGTGGCTATGACATGTGACCGAACTTTGAGATGTTACAGGGATCAAACTGCTCAGGATGCGCTCTAATGAGAATGGGAAGTTTGAAAACGCATTTATGCAAACTTCAGATGCAAAATTCTAGGTTTTCCGCATATCTTTTGCAGTCTGGATTACATAATACAGTACGCATCTTTCATCAGCTTTAAATACTACAGTAACCCTAAATACTGAAAACTGTAGGAGAGGCCGAAAAGAACCGAAAAAGACAACGATGCCTTCTCCTCTTCCTTCTATTTCTTTTTCAAAAACGATGAGACTGCATGCACAGAACTCGAATATTGTGGGAACGGTGTGCGTAGAGAGAGCACACATCTCGAAGAGCACGTCAGAGACAATGTGGTGGGAAAATAGGGGAAAATGTGGACGGACGGGCGGACGGGATGAATGGAAAAGGGGACACACTGCCTAGGCAAAAAGAAGAACTACCATTTCTTTCGACGATTTCCCAGGTTTCCAAAAGGCTCGGTCAGAAATCGCGCCCCAAATATATTTTAGGTCAGACGAAGTTTATTTAGTGGACGTGGATTTGTATCGTTGTTCGTTTGATACTCAGCTAACTCTCACGTTTGCTGGGGCGTGACTTCTAACTAGGCCTTTTGGAAGCCTATGCGGTACGACATTTCTATGTCTATAGTTATAGACAGAGTGCATTTTTAAAAGATGAACATCTCGAGGATCCTTTGCAAAGACCTCTAAAAAAGAAGAGAATCCAGACTCGTATCAACTCTTGAAATGAAAATTTTCTTATCAAATCTTATCGGACTCCGCCCATTTTCTCTAACTAAACCTGCGAAAAAAAACCAACTTGAAATACTCTAGAGACTGCTCTTTGACGTCAATAAGAAGGGATTTTGTACGCTTCTAACCTAGTAACGAGACCAAAAAAGGATGAGAACACTGGATGGAAACGGAAGTGCATCGTCATCATCGTCGTCTTTTTGCAGAATCACACGTTTCCCATGCGATGAATCTTACTCCTCATGATGAGTATAGGGTCCAAGGAAGAAAGAAAAAAAAGTAGGAGGAGTGTTTTGTGTGAAGAAAATAAAGGGAAGACATAACGTGTCCCATCGTCCCCTACGCCGTTGTCGTCGTACGGCTGAAGGCCCGTGGTGGCTCCCACGAAGGTTCCCACGAAGAAGCAGGCCCCGAGTCCTAGGAATAGAAAGAAAGAAGAAGAAGATGACAACAAACATGGGGCCCCCAAATGAAAACTGACTAGTGGATGGGGAGAGGGACATTAGATTGAAAATTTCCGAGTTTTTGAAAATCCTCACCTTCGCTTTTGATGAAGACATCCGCCAGAGTGAGCGCAGGCATTGGATGTTCGGTTGATGTGAATTTGAGAGCCTGAAAAAAGAGATGAAAAAAGAGATTAAAGGTATGAGAGGAGAGGTAATGAGCAGTTAATTTATGAGAGAGATGTTAATTTATGAGAGAGCCCATGGGAATGAATTTCTCTTTGAAAATTGTGTGTAGCTAGGGTAAAACAATTGTAGGGATTCAAAAAAAACCCTTGAATTTTTTAATTTTGAAGATACTTGAATATTATGCTATTTCAAAAAAATCGACTCTTTGGAAGAAATGGCGGTGACCGTAGCCGATGGTCCCACAACGACAACTACCGTAGCCTTAATGCTTTTTTTCTTTTTTTTTCCAAAACAACTCGGAAAATTTGAGTTATTGATAGCGGAAAAAAGACTGAAAATTTACGGAAATCGAGAAATTAAAACCAGAAAATATGTTTAGATTACGGTAGTTGTCGTTGTGGGACCTTCGGAGCAGGACCATTTTGAAACCCACCGACGAATACATCGCTTATCTTTATCTTTAATGGTATCTGTCGTTATCATGTGGATTGCTCTCTCAGCCGGCCTGGACTAGTCCTGCCCGACTTCCTTAAAACCTAGGTCGGCAGGTGCCCCAGTTTACCCAGCAGCACCCCACAAGGCATATAAAAAGTGCTGTAGTTTTTTAGTTCGCTCTAGTAACTCACTCAGACGTGAAAAAGTCAAAACGGTGACTGCCTGAAATTGGAGTCACGGCTAGAATTACAGTAACCTAGTGACCGGTTAGGTTTGATATTCTGTGAGAAATCAGAGTCAGAATATGAGATTTAGTTAGCTATGACCTAGTTTGAGCCGGATTAAATTATTATGAAAGGGGAATAAAATGGGGAAACGTGCGGATTGAAATTCTAATATTTCTGATATCGGATAAGTTGATAACCCAGAAAAGATTAAATCTAATTTGACACGCCGGTGGCCGCGACCAATATCTACCGTAACCTACGATTTTCTCGATTTTCGTGTGCTTTCAGTTAATTTCTGTCACTGAAAAAAGGGAAAAATAACAGAAAAAATCGCCGAAAAGCAGTTTGAAAAAACAAGAAAAAAATACGGAAAATTAGAACATTTTTAGGTTACGGTAGTTGTCGTTAAGGGGCCTTCAGCCACCGTCGCTTTTCATCCGCAGCTTTGGTTTTTAATAATACAATCTGATTCAAAAAATAGTTTGTGTAAACCGAAACAAAAAACGAACATTTGCGATAGAAAAACTATGAGTGACCAAGGGTAGCCTTCAGTGGCCTTCAGGTCATAAAGTATAACCCGCCTCCTCCCCCTTTTCCGTCGACCTGATTCGAGCCCTTCTCTACATTATTCAGGCCACACACAGTCGTCTTCTACGTCGACAATCGACCTATTTTCCCGCCCGTCGCCCGTTTACTTGGCCTATTTCGGAGGACCGTAGGGGTCGGGGTGTTCTATCCCATCGCCTCGTACACGAGATTTCGATTATTTCAACACAGAATTGTTCGTGTAGTAGTGACCAGGGATAATTTGGTTACAACATGCCCATTCTGGGATATTTCTCCCCATCTGGATTTTCTTTTTATCCCACCCGACTATTCTACTGAAAAAAAAGCTCGCAGAACGAAAATGAGAAAAAAGGGCGGGGGATAGAAATGCGTAGTCCAGAAACAACAGCTGCCATCCAGCTGTCGAAAAAGAGCGAGTGCATCACGGTGACCCGTAGAGAAAAATGAGAAAAAATTGGGATAGTACGAGTCCTAGCAAGAAAAAATTGAACGGATAGTTGTGGGGGTGATTCACGGTTAGGACAGGGCACCAGCAAGCACCAGAGGGGCTTGAGTAAGAGCTACACATGAGAATTTGAAGCTAAAACATAGCAAAAACATTATTTTAAAAGTCGATTTTTCACTATCCATCTTTTCTAGTGGATTGTGACAAGTACCCGATGAAAAATAGCAGAAAACTATTATCTGGTACAAAAAAATTGAAGCTGGGTTCCACAACGACAACTACCGTAACCGAAAAATATCTATATTTTCCGGTTTTTTTCTCGATTTTAGTGCGATTTCATTCAATTTTTTCACTGTCAAAACTTTGATTTTCCGACTTATTTTGTGGAAAATAACAGGAAACTCGACAAAAAACGACAAAATAAATCCCGAAAGTGAATTATTTTTAGGTTACTGTAGTTGTCGCTGTAGGATCTTTGCCCACAGTGAAACAAGTTCATCTGTACCAGTTGGTATTCACAAACCGCGTCTTTCACTCTATATTTCAAAATGGCTATTTGATGACCCCCGATGGATTAATAGTCACACAGAAAAGGCACATCATCTACCCCGTCTCCCTTTCATTTGAAATATGTGTCCTTCAATGACCTTCGAAAATTGGTGGACCACGGAATTAAACGACTACAGAAGAACAACAAACCTCATAGTATCTCCATGTGGACGGTGTCTTGCTTTTCTCTTCATTCACAAACTTTTCTCGCAGCTTTGCATAAACTCCTTCCATAAATGAACCGGTCCACTTTTCTGTCGTCACCACATCAACTGTACCATTGAATTTGACAACCATTCTTCTAGCGATATCTTCAAAATGTTGTTCCCGCGTTTGCGAACTTCCTTTAGGTACATATTTAGGAGCCCAAATTTGTGGTATTTCATGAACTAATTCGATAAGTGCACTGTACATTGCCGGCGTAAAACCGAAATTGAATTCATCCACACCGTCATCTGCTGGTTCAATGAAAGAAAGGGCGGTGAAGTTTGATCCATTCGCCTGTTTCAGTAGTTTTTGAAACTGAGCCGACTGTGGTGTTAGATTGATGAATGCGTCAACTGGTGATCTTTGCTGAAAACTGAGTAAGTTTCTAGGAAGTCTTTGAAAATCTTGGGAGCATTCTACAGGAAAGGGAGCATTTTGAGCTATTGAAGTCGTATATGTGAGACTACTTCTGGTTTTTGATACTGTCGGCTCAATTACAGCGGATATATTTCCAGCTTGATCAGGAAAAAAATTTTTAGGTATTATTCTTGTCTACCGGCGATAAACCTCACGGTCGAAAACTTATTTAAAGGCGCATCGTCAGTTCTAAAGTGAAAAAAGTTAATTTTTCTGAGAAAATGCATGCGTCGTCGAGTTTTTCTACTTTATAAAGAAAAAAATGGCAGATTTATGAGAATCAGAGGAGAATTCGAAAATAGAGTAAAAATCTGAGGGGAACAGGCAAGAATGAAATAATTTCGAGATACGATATCGAAGGCGCATGTATTTATTCGAAAAACTTCGTTGTTTTCGCTTCAGGGCTGATGATGCGCCTTTAAATGAAGCATTGGCCGCTGAACAAGAATGACAGAAGACACTGCTACAAGCAGATCAGTCATTTGATTCCCTATAGAGTCCTTGTTCCAATTTCAGATGTACGAATACCTACCTTTTCTTTTGCAGGCCTTCCTCTTCGTTTTGAGTTCACCACTTGTCCTACTGTTAGCCTCGATAACATCGCTCCAAAATCGATTTGCTCATCACCAGCCAACGCGTGCATTTCATCTCGGAACAGACCTTCAGAAAAATTGTACTCTTCTGTCGCCTCCATCACTTTGATGATTTCAGGATCTGCGTACAATTGCGTTAGCTCATTCCGTCGCTTTTTCGGTAGACATCTGCAAAAGAATTCGTTTACTTTAAAGTATAGGTTTCAAAAAGTTCAGAACAGTAAACATCCATCAAATCTATAAACAATCGAGCCCACGCTTCGATATAGATCATATTGAACCTCAAAATTATTAAAAATCTTGAAAACTAACCCTAAATACGGATAATGTGGGTTACAGTACGGCTTCAAATAGTCTAATACGTTGTTGTATCGCCATTCGGTTGGTGAAGTTGTCAATGTGCACCGGTAGAAACTCTCCACAACCCAACACCATTTTTCGATTATTGCCCACACTGAAATTGGAAAGAAATAAAAAAAAATTTCAAAAGCACAACATACTGCTGAAATCGGGATTCATATTCGACAAAAATCCTGCGACCTGTCCGAATGAAGCAAGAACATCTTCCTTTGTCAACTTGGCTGTGGAATTCCAAATAGTCGGTCGCTCTTTGATGAGTGCCAAAAGCACTCCTCGTGATGTGTCATCGAAATTTGGTGGCTGCTGAAAATCGAGTTCACCTGTTTTTTTCAGATCATTCATTTTCAATGAAATTTCCAGGCTGAAAAGCTCACCTGTCCTCTTATTTCCTGTAATAGAAGGTAATAATTTTCGAGCAGTGTCATTGCCATTTTGTAAGTTCTTCAATTCTGCAAAAAAGAAGTTAATTTGAACATTTCTCGTTTCGCGCCATCGCAGAAAGAAGGAAGCGAGAGAGTGTGCAGATCGAAGAGACGGCAGAGAAAACCGTGAGAATCGGCGGCCGCCCGGTGGGTTTTCTATACCGCTGTGGGAAAAATTTCAGCTGAAAATTCAGAAAAAAAGTTTTAGTTATTTGAATATTCTGAAGGTCTTTACAGTCCTTCACAATCAATTCTAATGAAAGTTGCGAATCTGAAGACAACCTCAAAAAAGCTCTACACGAAAATAAACAGTACTGAATGAGCCAATAAACCATACTTTTGGAAATTTATAGTTTTAGGTTTTCGAGTTGCAAAAGAAGTACAACAAGGCTATGATTATCTCAAAAACTTTGTAAAAAGCCTACTGAACAAGTATAAAAGTGTCAAACCTCTCTAGTAAGGTACCTTGTAATTATTCGGCCCAAAACTGGAATATTCAAATCACATAGGAAAAAAGGAAAACAAACTGAATATGCAAGTCACAAATCACTTAAGGAAGAAATATACTAAAATACTAGGTTAGTGAGAAAAACTTGAAACTTCCCACTCATCGAAAAAGACAGATCGAAAGAAAATGGGGTTAACGAGATTCGGACCTTCGGGTTTTTGGGTTCAAGGAAGTTAATTGGTCTTCCGAATGAGCTATTCAAACAATAAGAGCAGGGCAGAGGTTGAGATCATGTGGTAACTCGAAAAAAACAAGAAAAAACACCAGAAATTCGTCGAAAACGGGCAAATTAGGAAATATCAGTAAGCCCCGCCCCTTTTTGATGTTAGGACAAGGATTCGGACTGTTTTCTGAAAATAGCCCGAAACAAGCAAACGGGCCGGGTATGTGTTGTGTTGTGTGTGTCTCTGTGTGTGTTCTCTCCCAACAGCGTGCCCTCCGTCTCGGCCTCGATCAATTCTCTCTCTCTCCAAACCACCGATGGGCGGAGTCATTCGAAGCTCCGCCCATCCATCTCGGCCCGCCGCTATTCTCTCGATTCTCTTCACTCGACACGCTCTCTCGTCGTCTCTGCCCTCTATGTTTGCCCTTGTGTTTCTCGAACGTCGAGTGGCCGGCGCAATGGGAGGAGGCATCTAGGACGCTTTGGGTGGAGGGGTGTGCCGATGAAGACGACGCAGCAGTAGCAGGCGGCGCAAAAAAAGACATCTCAGGGTTTTGGGGCTCAGGAAGAAGAAAAAAGTCGTGTGCAGGAGAAGGAGGAGATGGATGAATATGGATGGAGAACAAGGCCCTGAATAAAAAACGTTCTGAGAAAAAAGTACTTTTGTTCAAGAAGTTTTGCTAGATTTTTTTGAATTTTTTCAAATAAAAAAAATCCGAAAAAGTAGATAAAATCTGCGAAATTGAGAGATTCCTTCTCTCCAATATTGCTGTGTTTTCACCAAGTGGGCCAGAATACGGTATTTTTCCGGAACCTTTTCGAATGATTTTTCCCGACCTTTCTTGAATGAAATGCAGTCACCTCTGAGTAGCGACTTTAAAGCTTTCATGTCGAGACCAATCCCTTCTTACTACCGCATATAAATTTTTGCGTCCGAGCGCATTTACAAGACGTTCTGAAAGAAAACCCCCTCCAAATTAATTGGACCAGAATCCCTAAAAATATAATGGTAGGATGTGTGAGACTTTTCATCCCTAATAAATATGTATATTCATGTTCGAATTCGGAGCAATTGAATGCTCATAGCTGACAACGTGAGATTCAAAATGTTCTAAAAAGAAGTAATCCTCTTTTTAGGATTAGGATTTTAGAACGCGGGATTATTATGGGAAGCACTTTGAAGAACATCGAACAGACGAATGTTTGAAGATCTGTCGAAAGGAAAAAATCTCTAAAAATGAAACATTATAAGATCCTTGTTAGAATTCGAATCATATACTTTATTACCATATTTGTAAGGACTTTGCTGGAAAATTTTCAAAAATAATTGTTTCCCGCGTGTTTTTCCGGTACAATACCGTAAGACTCGACAGTTCAATTTGAAGCGAGATCAACATCTTCTTACTACGGTATGTAAATTTTAGCTCCCGAGCGCATTTACATGCCGTCCCGTGCGTGCATACGCGCTCTATTCGAATTTTTGAAGATAATTCTCAAAAGAGTGGAACTACCTTTTTTCCCTTTTTGCGGACCGTAATAGGTTCTTTATTTTTCAGAAATTGTTATTTCCCGAGCTAAGCTCCGCCCCTTCCCTCCCAGGAAAAACAAAAACTGTCGCACGTGACCCCATTTCTTTCTCTCTGATAACCTCCTTCTTTCTCTTCCTCTCCTGATTGCTTATCACGAAATACAAGATGAATGTGGTCGAATGAAAAATGATGAGTGGAAAATGACACCCATTTTATATTGTTCTTCTTCTTTTCCTATTTCTACTGGATGAAAAAAGAAAGAAAATTGTGAAAATCACTTTTTTACGATAGAAAATTAAATTATGTCATTTGTGAGATCGTATAGCAAGAGTGGTTGTAGAGCAGGGTATAACAATTTTATTGGCTTTCCGAGAAATTTCATAACTACCGTACTCTTTGTCCTATTACATTTTCACAAAAAAAGAGGGACTTTTAGACTGTCATCAATCTGTGTGATAAGAAAAAAAATTGTTTTATCCCTGGACCATAAATACCGTAGAACCTGTAATAGAAGGGCCCCTAACTTCATAAGTATTTTGTAAGTTGACACATTTTTGATATCTTGCATAGGAATTGAGATAATTGAGCCTAAATTTGACAGTGTGAGCGCTCTTCTATTACAGGGTTTACGGTAGTTCCTAATGTTGCCCCATTTGTATTGAGAAACTAGGATAATTAAAAAATTCGTATTTTTTTTTCAAAGTTCAGGAGCATTTTTTGGTGACCATTTTTGTGGTAAAATTTACTTAGAGGTGCCAAAAATGTTTTCTGCACTTTTTTTTGCATTTTCAAAGTAATATTATGGAAATACATCACTTTGTGAACATTTCAACGAAAAAAATTTTTTTAACTTTCTGGTTGGAGTCCCCCTTTAAACTCAAACTTTTCGGTATTTTCAGCCTACGTCTTTTCCAGATGACGTGTCTCTTCTGAAGACGTGATTTCTTTCCGTTCCTCATGGTTTCACACGGAAGTTCAAGAACTCGAGTTTACGCTTGACTGGTTTCACGTATCTGGGTCATCATCCAAACTCCTTTAAAAAGTACATTTCAAATTGTATACAAACAATAAAAATCCCTCAAATTTTTTCCTTTTCATGGTGTCCCATTCGCAATAAATAAATATATATTTGATAGCCCCATTGCTATTAGGTGGTCTCTTTTTCTTTTTTCCGAACTTCTTTGCTTTTTCTTCTTCGTATTTTTCTTCTTCCCCATCTTCCTTTCGTTTTTTTTGCTATCCTCCGCCATCGCACCCTCTTTTTCTTCTTTTTCATCACCATCATTTGTTATCAGTATGTCACGGAGAAGGCACGAATTATCGGGATGTACCCAGTCATTTTGGAAAAAAAAGAAGAAGAAAGCGAAAAAGAAGAAGATAAAATGAGCTCTAGAAAACACGGCCACGCCCCTTTTTTCTTTGGGAAGGAGAAGAAGAGAAATGACTGGAGACCGCCTGAAACACACGTCCATTAGTCGATTTTTCTTCTTCTTCTTCTTTTCCGGGACGCCCGGACTCTTTCTGAAGGAGACAAAAAGTACACTGACGGAACAAGAACACATTCTTTTTTGCTATTTTTTCTAGACTTGTGTAGCTATATCTTGATGAATGGAGAAGTAAAAGAAGAAGTAGAAGTAGAAGACGTTGAAGAAGAAGAAGAAATCTGGAGTGTCTAGTTCTAAGGAAGAAATAATTGACTTTGAAAAATTGATTTATTGGTAATTGGAATAAATTATGAAAATCTATCGGAAGCGGATCAAAGAATCAAGGCAAACGTTCAAAAAGTTCAGAAATGGTTTTCGATTGTTGAAATTAGTTATCAGATTTCCGGCTTCCGGCGCCAGTAGAAATTCTGAAAGTCTAATTTGAAACGATGGCAGTTCCGGGAGCAGCGAGCAATAGTCTGGAAAAAAGAAAACATTTCAGAAACCCCAATTAAAACAAATTCAAATATTCAAAATCTTGAGACCAAAAAAAGTGGTTATTGAATTTTTGATTCTCATTGTTCTCTTCCCTCCAAAAATCATATGTTTATTTCCATTTTCTTATTGGGACCTACCTTTTCTTTTGAAAACGGAAACGGCCCTTTGCACATTAAATGAACAAGAATGGGCTCCATTTCATGAGGAACATTTCAAAACGTCTCCTTCTCAATCTAAATTGAATCTTTAAACCATGGACCTCTTGGTATATTTTTAATTTAGTATTGAGTGATATTATGAATTCGATATCACAACTTCTGGAACTTCTGGAATCATCAATGGAACAGTCTCGGGGTAGTGAACGCTGGGGGTGTATCGTTCCAATTCAAAAAAGAAGCTGAATTATGGTAAGAGCATTAGCATAAGGCTTAGCATCTGAAAGTTCATACAAAATTCAAATCAGTTTTTTGACTTTGAAAATGTTCATTTCGAAGCGAGTTACAGCCAAATAGAGCAGCTGGCCTAGTCTTGGGTTTCTTGTCACCAATCTCAAAATCGGTATTAATAACTTCTAAATTTGTATTTTTAAAGTTCAAAAACCATTTAGAACTTCAAAACAAATAAGCTTTCTAATAATACACCTTGCGGAGTAGGTATTGCAATTTTGGGATATCTAGGCCACCAGACAAAAATTGGCATAACTCGGCTCAAAATCGACATTTCCAAAATCTGACAACTGATTATGAAATCTCAAAGTATGATCCTTGCAACTATGTAAACCATGACCTAGTTTTCCTGAAATTCGGAGTTCTAGACCACCAATCTTAAAATCATTACAGCTCGCTTCAAATTTTGTATTTTTAAAGCTCAGGTTGATCCAAGTTTTC